TAGTCCACGTCAAATGCAGCGATTTCAATCGTCTTTGATGACAATGCAGGAGTATATAATTTTAATTTTTTTTTAAATCGATCAAAATATTCCTCACAACTTAACGCCGCTGAGTACAGTTCGTATCTCTCCGGGTACAATAGACGTAAACACGCGTAATAAAGATGGACCAACATAGATGAAAGGCTGGTGGATTTTAACTACCCTCACATTGAAGTCACCTTTTATTACTGTTATTATTATTACTACTATTATTATCATCATTATTATTATTTTTATTATTAGGGGTCATGCCCCCCCCCCCACACACACACAAATCCACTTAATTCCCTTTTAAAAGTCCATACGCGTCCAGTCAAATTTTTATCGGCCCCCTCCCCACCCCCCCACCCCCCACACCCGCCCCGTTGTGGACGTAATAAATGTATGACCCCTTAGCTTATTCAGTTTTGAAAAGGTTTTTTTTTCATACCACGTTTTAAAATAATGTGAATTAATATTTTAAATAAATAATTTCCTGATTGTGTTTGCATGTTATGTAACAACACTCCCCCCCCCCCCCTTCCCCCTCCCCCATCCTACGCTAAGCCGTCGGCCTCCCATTGACAAAGAGAAGAGCACTGCGGTTATTCTGGTGGAGGCGAGTTGTCGTTTAGTAGTACACACCGGCCTGTCTCGAGTTGTTTGAAAGCGTAAAGAGTAAAGAGGGATAACTCCGAGCGTTTAAATGTGGCATTTCCGTTTCTTAAAATAGACCACTGGCGTGCTGGGGAGCCATTGAAATTGTGGGGAGTACGTGTTGATAAAGTCATAAAAAAAACATTTTTATTCTGGGTCATGGAGAGCAATAACTCTTGAAAATTGGGACCGTTTTGAGTTCAAGTTGTATTATTCTGAATGGGATAGTTTGAGCAGAAGTTGTGGGGTTAAATTTGCAAGTTGGATACATTTTGACAGGGATTCTTGATGTAGAAAGATAAATTTTATTTTATACGCAATTTATTTCTGGCATCTTTGGGGGTGGTGGTTGTTTTATACGTTATGTGTCATCCAAATTAAATGCGTACTGTCCGCATACATGCTTTGTATATATAGCAAGCTATTATAATTTTTGTCACATAGGGTGATTTCTATCTGAGAGGTCACAGCGCACAGGTTAAATGTCAGAGGTCAAATCAGTCTAGTTATATTTTAGAGGTAATAACAAGTCATATATCTGGGATAAAACGCGTTATATATCGGGAGTCACATCAAAGGAGTTGTATATACGGAGTCACAGCAAACAAGTTATATATATATATGGGGTCATACCAGATAAATTATACATACTATGGAGTCACATGAAACAAGTAAGGAGTCACACCAAGCTCGTCAAATACCATAAGTCACAGCATACAAGTAATATACACATCACACCAAACACCTTATATTTCCGGGTCAATTCATAAAAGTTAAAAATCAAATGTTACACCAATTATACTTCAATGATTATTGGACTACATCAAATTCCAATCAAGACTCACGTAAAAGCGTATGAAAGTGTAAAAAGTAAAGATTCCTTTTTAGACCCAACGATCCATTGGGCAGATGAAGTTGAGTTCATATGTTTCTTGACCTTAGCATATAAACGGGTAATGTGATCAGCACTATGCCCAGCCTCCTTTGCTTTTTCTAACGTGAGTTGGGTACACATCAGAGTATGACAGTGTGGTCAGCTTATCATTGTGGTCTAAATCAGCCTCGGTGGTTCTCAAACTTGGGACGGTACCACCACAAGAGTCGCGCGTGAGTGTGTGGGACAACACAGCGCGGTGCCGTATTGCTCACCCCGTGTCACATCTGCTGCAGGCGGTTGTTGAAGCCTGTGTGTCATAGTTGCCTTATAGAGACTCATGGTTGATGGTTATTCGTAATAATCCCTCTCATTGGTGTGTGTGGGTAGCTTACTTCTGTACTCGAAGGTGCGTGTGTGTTGCTTACTTCTGTACTTGAAGTAACTAAGAGGATTGGAGGTATAAAGCTACTGTTGATAGATCACAATACGTTATAGTCGCCATAGTAGCCTACAATGGCTAAAATGTACATGGGTCCATAGTATAGTTATATGCAGTTTTGATGTATTTTTTCGCATACATGCACATTAACGTATACAGATGTATATTTGTATGAGCATATATGTGTGTATATGAATGTATGTATGTATGTATGTATGTATGTATGTATGTATGTATGTATGTATGTATGTATGTATGTATGTATGTATGTATGTATGTATGTATGTATACATGCATCCATGTATGTATGTATGTATGTATTAAAGCATTCATGTATGTATGCATGCATGCATCCATGTATGTATGTATGCATGCATGTAGACATGCATGCATTATTTAGGTTAGGATGTAATAATGTTTTGTGTACATACGCACATACCCATATACACCATACATCTAAAGTAATGTGTGTTGTTAAATAAAGGAATTGTTACCAGCGCCATAAACTTAGTTTTTAAACTAGGATCAGTGATTAGGGTTACTGCTACCGTGTCTAAACGCTTTTCATGTGGGCAAATGAACAGTGAATGTGCACGTGTTACAATAGCAACATAGCATTACGTTTTCAGGGATTCTCACAAAACGTACAGGAGGTTGCCCCTATACTCAGTGTTCGACCCCCCCCCCTACTGCCACGCATGCAGTGACCTCACCCGTGCACGTGAGTTCTAACGATCCGCTCACACTTGCATCTGTCGCGTGCGATTAATTTTTTTTTTTATGCTATGTGGTACATATTGGTCAAATACCTTGACATTTTTTTGGTATTATATTTGTTCATTTATATTTCCTTCTCTCTCTTTCTCTCTCTCTCTCTCTCTCTCTCTCTCTCTCTCTCTCTCTATCTCACGCCATGTTGCCTCCCTGCCCCCCCACCCCCCCCCCACCATACCCCCCCCCCCAGCTCTCATCTCATGCAACCGCCCATACGCACGTTTCTGTATATCCACTATACGCACGTGCAGCTGTTGGTCTTAGCGTATTGAACTGGATGATATGGATCGTGTGTGGTGTGGTAAGTGAGTGTGGTGGTGTGTGTGTGTTTTACCGTAATCTAAGCGTATCGATTTTCTCTTGCCTCCTATACTTACACCGGCTTTTATAGTCACATACATATTACTGTAAAGCTCCCTATTTTCTCCTACTTGCCTTTTACAGCCGTATATATATATATATATATATATATATATATATATATTAGATAGATAGATAGATAGATAGATAGATAGATAGATAGATAGATAGATAGATAGATAGATAGATAGATAGATAGATAGATAGATAGATAGATAGATATAAAACTATATATATATATATATATATATATATATATATATATATATATATATATATATATATATATATATATATATATATATATAATGTGTGTGTGTCTATTTAAAATATGGTACGCCATATATATATATATACATAAACATATATATATATAGTTTATATGTAAATGTGTATTACTTTAAAATTCGGGGCAGGGGGTTGTCCTCTCTTACGTCTTACCGTAAAACTACTATTTTTTCTTTGTCAAATTTCGTTTAATAAAAATGTATTGCATAACTCTAATTTCCCAGCCGCATCTTGCTAAAAGGTAAAGCGTAACACTACTTTGGTATGCTAGACACAACCCCCATCGGCGGATGAATACGTTGGAATACGTTCCAATGCGCTGTCAATAACGGGGACATCCATTCACGGTCGCACTGAGCCGGTGACCCCGTGACCTTTGCTTGACAAAGGTCAGCACTAATTGTGTGTAAAGGGGGAGGGGTCCACCGGGCGATGAGAGAGTTAGGGCGATCATATCGCGTTGCTGTCCCGCGCTTAACCTAGTTGCGGTGTGTCGGTGTGGTACAGCACGTTGGGTTGGCTATTCTGGTTACGTCATAGGTGTGCTGGCTACGTTGTAGCGTGTGTGCAACGTCACGTTGTGTTTGGTACGTCATGTATGTACTTGGTTTGGCTGCTCTTGTTACTTCATAAATCTACTTTTTATACCATGCTTTACTTGTTATATCTTGAATATTTATAGTACAGTATGGCTGTGCATAGTACAACTTGGCTGTGCGTTGTACAACATGGTTGTACATAGTACGCCATGGGTGTACTTATGGCTGTACATCTATACAACATGGCTGTACATATTACAATATGGCTGTACATAGTACAACATAGATGCACATAGTACACCATGGCTGTACATAGTACAACATAGATGTACATAGTACAACATAGATGTACATAGTACAACATAGATGTACATAGTACAACATAGATGTACATAGTGCAACATAGATGTACATAGTACAACATAGATGTACATAGTACAACATAGATGTACATATTACAATATGGCTGTACATAGTACAACATAGATGCACATAGTACACCATGGCTGTACATAGTACAACATAGATGCACATAGTACACCATGGCTGTACATAGTACAACATAGATGTACATAGTACAACATAGATGTACATAGTACAACATAGATGTACATATTACAATATGGCTGTACATAGTACAACATAGATGCACATAGTACACCATGGCTGTACATAGTACAACATAGATGCACATAGTACACCATGGCTGTGCATAGTACAACATAGATGTACATAGTACAACATAGATGTACATAGTACAACATAGATGTACATAGTGCAACATAGATGTACATAGTACAACATAGATGTACATAGTACAACATAGATGTACATAGTGCAACATGGCTGTACATAGTACAACATAGATGTACGTAGTGCAACATGGCTGTACATAGTACAACATAGATGTACACAGTACAACATGACTCTACATAGTACACCATGGCTGTACTCATGGCTGTGCATGGAACATCATGGCTGTTCTAGTTATATCTTGTATCAACTAAACCCGCCTATTACTTTTTTCTTTTATCCTTGTCAACAGATATTGGGACTGTCCGGATGAAAAAGTTGACCGAATCACGTGATCTATCCATCTGGTGAGTACTGTACTGATAGGCCTTGACATGACGAGACTAGTGCGCTCAACGATTCTAGACCCGCCATCTCTGTATCATAACGTTGTTAGCTCGATGTCCTAGTGCGCTCAACGATTCTAGACCCGCCATCTCTGTATCATAACGTTGTTAGCTCGATGTCCTAGTGAGCTCAACGATTCTAGACCCGCCATCTCTGTATCATAACGTTGTTAGCTCGATGTCCTAGTGCGCTCAACGATTCTAGACCCGCCATCTCTGTATCATAACGTTGTTAGCTCGATGTCCTAGTGCGCTCAACGATTCTAGACCCGCCATCTCTGTATCATAACGTTGTTAGCTCGATGTCCTAGTGCGCTCAACGATTCTAGACCCGCCATCTCTGTATCATAACGTTGTTAGCTCGATGTCCTAGTGCGCTCAACGATTCTAGACCCGCCATCTCTGTATCATAACGTTGATAGCTCGATGTCCTAGGGCGCTGAACGATTCTAGATTCTAGACCCGCCATCTCTGTATCATAACGTTGTTAGCTCGATGTCCTAGGGCGCTGAACGATTCTAGATTCTAGACCCGCCATCTCTGTATCATAACGTTGTTAGCTCAATGTCCTAGTGCGCTCAAAGATTCTAGACCCGCCATCTCTGTATCATAACGTTGTTAGCTCGATGTCCTAGTGCGCTCAACGATTCTAGACCCACCAGCATCTCTGTATCATAACGTTGTTAGCTCGATGTCCTAGTGCGCTCAAAGATTCTAGACCCGCCATCTCTGTATCATAACGTTGTTAGCTCGATGTCCTAGTGCGCTCAAAGATTCTAGACCCGCCATCTCTGTATCATAACGTTGTTAGCTCGATGTCCTAGTGCGCTCAAAGATTCTAGACCCGCCATCTCTGTATCATAACGTTGTTAGCTCGATGTCCTAGGGCGCTCAAAGATTCTAGACCCGCCATCTCTGTATCATAACGTTGTTAGCTCGATGTCCTAGGGTGGTCAACGATTCTAGACCCACCAGCATCTCTGAATCATAACGTCGATAACTCAATGTCCTAGGGTGGTCAAGTCTAGCTTGTCTAGTTCTCTCTTGTTAGAGGCGTCAGTTCTTTTAGATTCTACTAGTGTTTCTTCGGGGAGGCACTGTTCCCCTCCCCACCCCTGAAGCTAGTCTAACCCACCCCCATTTCTTCCAGTCAAAACAGAAAATATAATTTATATGGATAGTATAAACTTTAACGACTTTCAAATCTCTTTGAATTCGACACTTCAAACTCGAACTCATATATATTTGTTTTTTTTTAAACCACGTCCGTGTCATTCCAGTTGCTGATCTTCCTTTCAAAAGATTTCTCCTTGAGATTAGTTTACCTCTATATACGTTTTCACTGTAGGTTATATTTTATGACATTACTGGACTGAATAGTAAGCTTACTGACTCCTAATAACTAGCCACACATTATCTCTGACTCCAAAGTAACTAGCCTCACATTTTCTCTTACTTCAAACTAGTCTCACTTTTTCTCTGACTCCAAACTAGCCACACATTTTCTCTGACTCCAAACTAACTAGCCTCACATTTTCTCTGACTCCAAACTAACTAGCCACACATTTTCTCTGACTCCAAACTAGCCACTCATTTTCTCTGACTCCAAACTAACTAGCCACACATTTTCTCTGACTCCAAACTAACTAGCGACACATGTTCTCTGACTTCAAACTAACTAGCCTCACATTTTCTCTGACTCCAAACTAACTAGCCTCACATTTTCTCTGACTCCAAACTAACCTCACATTTTCTCTGACTCCAAACTAACTAGCCTCACATTTTCTCTGACTTCAAACTAACTAGCCTCACATTTTCTCTGACTCCAAACTAACTAGCCTCACATTTTCTCTGACTCCAAACTAACCTCACATTTTCTCTGACTCCAAACTAACTAGCCTCACATTTTCTCTGACTTCAAACTAACTAGCCTCACATTTTCTCTGACTCCAAACTAACTAGCCTCACATTTTCTCTGACTCCAAACTAACCTCACATTTTCTCTGACTCCAAACTAACTAGCCACACATTTTCTCTGACTTCAAACTAACTAGCATCACATTTTCTCTGACTCCAAACTAACTAGCCTCACATTTTCTCTGACTCCAAACTAACCTCACATTTTCTCTGACTCCAAACTAACCTCACATTTTCTCTGACTCCAAACTAACTAGCCTCACATTTTCTCTGACTTCAAACTAACTAGCCTCACATTTTCTCTGACTCCAAACTAACTAGCCTCACATTTTCTCTGACTTCAAACTAACTAGCCTCACATTTTCTCTGACTCCAAACTAACTAGCCACACATTTTTCTCTGACTCCAAACTCACTAGCCTCACATTTTCTCTGACTCCAAACTCACTAACCTCACATTTTCTCTGACTCCAAACTAACTAGCCTCACATTTTCTCTGACTCCAAACTCACTAGCCTCACATTTTCTCTGACTCCAAACTAACTAGCCACGCATTTTCTCTGACTCCAAACTAACTAGCCACACATTTTCTCTGACTCCAAACTAACTAGCCACACATTTTCTCCGACTCCAAACAAACTAGCCTCACATTTTCTCTGACTCCAAACTAGCAACACATTTTCTCTGACTCCAAACTAACTAGCCTCACATTTTCTCTAACTAAATCTTAATGACCACATATTTCTAAAGACTTACTCTTGATAAAACACCACAAAAATGTACGTTCCTCCAAGTTAAAAAAAAAAAAAAAAATTCTTATTGATCAGCCGTAAAAATACAACATAGGTTTCTCTCATTCTTTGGATGTAATTCAATGGTCACTTCACCGTGTATATCAAAAGTAGAGAAAAAAAAATATTTTTCTATTCTCGGTATTGATCTGGTAGCTATTTCTGATGTGTGTATGTTTTCTACCACCTGTTTCTGGCCCAGTTTAAAAAAAAAATTCCAGCCACTTTGATTAGTTTTTTCTTGGATATCTTTGATATTCTGGGTTGAAGGAAACGTGTTTTGGGGTTTAGATGAGGATGTGTCTGCTGTGTTTCCGGGGTGTGTTAGTGACGTCAGTGTTTGCTACAGCAAGTTTTACACACTAGCTAACGTAAGGCATGTGGGACGGCGTGGCCTAGCGGTGGAGCGCTAGACTATTAACCCGATAGTTTCGAGTTCGAATCCGGGTTCAGGTTAGTGGAACGTCCCTGAGTCCACCCAACTCTGATGGGTACCTGACTCACGTTAGGGAAAGTCAATGCGGCTTGGCATAGTGCTGACCACTTTATCCCTTTATATGCCGAAGTTAAGAAACTCTACTTCATCTGCGCTGGCCAATGGATCGTTAGAGCCTAATGAGGAATCTTTACTTTAACACAAGTCATATGCGTGATATGATATATAGAGCCATTAATCTGCGTATGACAGCAGACCGAGGGCTGATAACTAAGTGGAAAGGCCGTTTATCCTAACATTATGTTTCTAATTATAGTAACATATTGTATGACATTACCGACTTCCGGTGGAGAATTTTCGAGACCAATGGTTTGGGCTCTGTTTATTTTTTTTTCTACACGTTTTTTTTTTAATAAACTAATATTTGTATGTGTTCGTTGTAGAAACTAGTGGGATTGTAGTTTGTGTGTCGCCTGTTAACTATGCAATATTTTTGGGACGGTGTGGTCGGGTAGTAGAGCTTTGATGGGATCTGACTTACGTTATGGATATGAAAATAAAAGGCCGGGCATAGTTAAAATCCCATAATCCCTTTATATGTCGGGGCCAAGAAACAGATGAACTCTACTTTATCTGCCATATGGATCATCAGGTCCAAACGGGAAGCTTCCTTTTTATGCAATGATGTTAGTTCATTGGCCACAAAAACGGACGAACTCCATGCTTTACTTGCCCCATGAAAGGAGAATACAATGCCATTAGTCGTTGCCGTTACTATACAAATAGTTCTTCTCATTGCTATACACTTAGTACGTCATATTGCTATACACAGTAGTTCCCATTTCTATACACAATAGTTGCCATTGCAATATACAATAGTTCCCATTGGTATATTCAATCGTTACTATACAAATAGTTCTTCTCATTGCTATACACTTAGTACGTCATATTGCTATACACAGTAGTTCCCATTTCTATACACAATAGTTGCCATTGCAATATACAATAGTTCCCATTGGTATATTCAATAGTTCCCATTGCTATACATAATATTACCCATTGCTATATTCAATAGTTCCCATTGCTATATACACAATAGTTCCCATTGCTATACATATAGTTCCCATTGCTGTACATAATAGTTCCCATTGCTATATACACAATAGTTCCCATTATTATACATACTCAGTACTTCTCCATTCTCTCTAACTTCACCCACATTTAGTCACATACCTTTAAAGTAAAAAAAAAAATATCTTTCCCTTCCATCTGCATACCATAAAAGGCCAAAGTACACACGGCTAATCGAAAGACTATAAAATAAAAATCAACTGGCTTAAGATGTTAATGGTGGGGTGGGGCGAGGTTGTAGATAAGATGGTGGACCTGTGGGTCTCGTGACTAACATTCAGCCCCCCCCCCCCCCCCAATTTGTTTTTCACCATCTACATATTCAGTGATTCTTTTAGATAATTTTCTTTTGAGGGGGACGGGGTGGACTGGTTAGAGTATATATTTTCTATTTAAATTCTATTTCGCTCAGCCGAGGGAGGGGGGGGGGAGTGGTTAGACCTGCATCGCAGGGTGGACTCTATTTTTTTTTAAATTTCATCTGCTCTTTGAGACGCTAGTTGTAGAAAATATTTTACTTTCTCATCGAATTTGGCCTTATTTCATTCTCCCCGCTTCCCTGGAGTGATGCATGAAAGAAACTATATACATACTTTTCAAGTTTTTTTTTTAGCAGATAGGCCTACTCGGTGTTGGTTATATGGGTCTACACCAGTGGTTCTTAACCTTTTTGGGGGTATCGAACCCCACCAGTTTCAAATGCGCATTCGCCAAACCATTTCATAGTTTTTATGGTCCTTACTGACAAAATCCGATCGCGAATCATATGAGTTGGGTGTGTGTCTTGACCACCACTGACCACTAGTCAGCACTTTATATTATCAACAAAATGTATGGAGTCATACGTCGATATATTGTACATTTATGGGATCGGGGTCGGAGATCTGGGAAGGGGTCGTGGGTCTAATTTGGTTACATTATTTGGTTGGGATCCTTTTTTTTTTTTTAGGAGGGTTTTAGTCTTTAACGTTTAATAGCTGTATTTGGATATTTTGTCAGCTGTTTTATCGACCAGATTTTAGGGGGCGGAGTCATTAATCAGAGGGTTGGGACCGAAGTCTTGATATTCGATTTTGTTGTAGACTGGAGGGTGGGGGGTGGGTCTTGTTCTTAACATTTAATTGTAACTGGGGAAGTAGGCTGTTATGATGACCAGTAATTTTAGATCGTGGACGACGTGGCCTATCGATAGAGCGCTACACTGCTAACCCGAGAGTCTCGAGTTCGAATCTGGGTTACAACGTCCCTGATGGGCGCTTAATTCACGTTAGGGTAAAAAAGACGGCTGAGCATAGTGCTGACCACACTATCCCTTCATATGCCTATGTCATTTCAACAGATGAACTCTGCTTCATAACAGGTGTGGACAGCAATGGGGGCTATTGTGAATAACCACTCTATCGTCTTGTTCGCGTTCGATACAATTGCTTTCAAATTTTTGAAAACTATTTTTTTTGTATGCTATAAACAATAGCTTACAGTACCCACCCGTTTCAAGTTTTCTTAATATACAATGCACGGTTGTGCGGTTATACCTAAATTCATACACCCCCCCCCCCCCCTATTCAACATTTACTTTGTATTCTGCTGTTTGCTGGTTTAACCCCCCCCCCCCCCCTCCCCGTGACTTACATTCCCCTACTGTGATGGAATGCGCCCAAACAACTTAGATCCTGACACTGTTAGCTAGCACCTACATAACGCCCTTTTTTTTTCTTACCTCCCTTATTTTTATTTTGTTGCTGTAGTGATCTAATTGTGTTATTAAAATTATGATATTTGGATCACTGCTTCTTTCTGGACCGGGTATTCATATTTTATTTCTTTTCTCGCGATGCATATGTACACATTCTTTTTTGTTAGCACAGTTGAGGTCTAATTGTATATTAAAATGTTATATATTTAGATCATTTCACTTTAACCCGTCTTCATATTTTTTTCTTTCTCTGCTCTTGCGATGAGTATGCGCAGTTGTGATCTAATTGTGCATTAGATTGCGAGGATGTTTGGATCAGGTACCTGTTGAGTGTGACGCCTACTAAGGGCTAGATACGGCTGGGGTGTGGGACGCCGTCAAGGTTGGTTGGATGGGAACCGGGTGTATCCTCGCTGGCTCCGGGAATTTGATGCGCTACATGTGTGTGTGGGGGGGGGGGGGGGGGGGGGTGGGGGGGTAAACATAGGTAGGAGGTACGGTGATTTGCAGTGTCTGCATAATTTATTAGTGTCTACAATCATAGTTTTAATGAGACTTTTCATGGAAATTGGAAAGTAGTGAGGAGGAGTGCTTTTATTATATATATATATATATATATATATATATATATATATATATATATATATATATATATATATATATATATATATATATATATAACGTTTAATTTAATTTACCAACACGCCAATGGGGAACTCGTGCCTTTTAGCTGGACATCAGTAGCGTAGCGGGTGGGGGGGGACATATGTCCCCGGGCGCCGAGCTTAGGGGGCGCCAAAATGGGTTGGAAAATTAAATTGAAAGGTTGAGGGGGGTGGAAATTGAAAGTTTGAGGGGGAGGGGTGCAAATCAAAATCTCGAGCTGGGGTGCAAATCGAAAGTTTGAAGGGGGGGGGGGGTGCAAATCAAAATCTCGAGGGGGGGGGGGGTGCAAATCGAAAGTTTGAGGGGGGTGCAAATCGAAAAGTTTGTCCCCGGGCGCCGAGAAGGGTCGCTACGCCTCTGCTGGACATGCATTTTCTTGATAGCAAGAATCGCCGATGTCGATAGATTAGCCTCAATGGTTAGGGTTGTAGTATCTTAACTGACTTTGCGAATCAAGTGTTCGTATAATGATTCTGTTTGTTGATCATCATTAAATTGTCACGTTTGTGCCCAAGACACATGGGTCAGAAGTAAAGTTCATCTGTTTCAGATGACCTAGCCATATGAAGGGATAGCGTGGTCAGCTCTATGCCCAGCCGCCTTTGCTTTCCATAACGTGAGTTGGGTATCTATCGGTGCTGGGTGGACTCAGGGTCGTTTTACTGCAACCCGGAACCGAACTCTAGACTTTCGGGTTAGTAGTCCAGCTCTCTACCGAAAGGTCACGCTGTCCCTACTGTCTTAAGAGCATACACCACTGTGACCTATCCTTACAATCATTACAATTATCTAAATGTGGATCATACAACATTGTGACATATCATTACAACAGAGACGTAGCGACCCTTCCCGGCGCCCGGGGACAAACTTTCAATTTGGCGCCCCCCTCGGGAGCAAATTATCAATTTGCACCCCACCCCCCTCAATCTGTCGATTTGCACACCCCCCCCCCCCCCCAAAAAAAAACTATTTATAATGCGAAAGTGCAGCTAAAATGACATTTTAATTTGTTTTTACAACCCATTTTGGCGCTCCCTAAGGTCGGCGCCCGGGGACATATGTACCCCCCCCCCCCATCGCTACGCCTCTGCCTTACAATTATATCGTGTACCATTGTGACAGACATGTCCTCTCAATTATATCATTCAACGTTATGACTGAACATTACAATTATATCATGCAACATTACGACAGGACTTTACAACTCTCTGCCTAAAGCCCATACAAAGATGTGTGTGTAGCGTGGCCCAATCAGAATTATCGTCAGAAAATGTTATTAGCTATGAAAGTCACCAAGCCTCTACTGCTGTGATTAGTTTATTTATTATTCCATCTTTTCAACTGTTGCTTTGAGATTATTTCTGTTTCCATAAATAAACCTCATTTTCCCCGTTTCCGCGCGCGCGGATAACAACACTGCTCTCGTATGTTTCCTAACCCTCCCCGCCTCTCTCTCTCTCGTGTCGATTGCGTCACTTGAGCGATAGTGAGTGTCAGCGGAGAGGGGGTGGAGACAAAAATGTATGTCACTTTATTATTTCAAGTTGTGTTGACTTTGGACTTACTTTTTTTTTTTGCTAAGTGATATTCTAGCATAAATTAATTAAGATGTAAATTTAATAGTTTTTTTTTTTAAATGCGAAAGGTTGTGTGTCAGCCCGCAATGCAACACGTGGTCGAAAAGTGAGCCTCCGGTTGGTCGCGCGGTTGTACCGTGACGTCGACCTCCGCGCGACACGTCGGGGAAAGGGGAGCTAAACGTGTTGTAAATTGACTTTTTTTTTAATGCTCTCCCCTTTCATCCTTTCCCTCTCGCCGCTCTTCCCCACCCCCTACCCCGCCTGTTACAGCTAGCCTGGGCGTATCGATACAGCACAGATGTTATAAAATACGCCTAGGTATCGTGCGATAGTTGTTTTATTCTCGTGTGGATTCTAAGTGCTTAAGGTAATCATTTCAATATTAAGTACTTTTCTAGAACCGTTTTCCTCTAGCTATCGTAATAATTAGTTATTTCTATTCTCGCTAAACCTTCCAGAAATTGAAATTACCCAAGGCGGTGGATTTTTAAATAAAATATTAATCAATATTTAATCATTTCATTGCTTGAAACTGTTATATTATTATTTTACTCTTCGCGGTGTTAAAAAATGAAAGTTTTCCGGTAAAAGTAACCGATACTACAGTGAATATTTGCGTGCATTTTTTTCTCCCTGTGACAACAGCTGTGTGGATTTTTTTTTTTTCTCTCTGTCCTAAACTAAAAGTAGTGTGTCTCATCGTCTGTTGCGTTGCAACGTATTCGAGATGACTAAGTTTTCTGTGTTAAAATATAGACAGTCACCTGTGTCGTATGCATTCCATTCACGACATTCTACATTATAACTAGATCTAGCCTCGGTGTATGATTTTTTTTTTTAAAGTGTCGCGTTGACGAACGGCGTAGTCTTACATCTCTAGATAACCGTACTGTAAAACTGGTGTTGGTTGGTCGATGAAATGTGGAAGATGCATTCTTTTCACATTGCTACGTGGCAGTGTTGGTTACGTTTTTTTTTCCGTTAGTTTTTTAAACTCTACAGTAACTTTATTGTGTTGAAACTGTTTTAAGTTAAAGCTTTCTTTTCATATTAGTCATTTTAGGATCTTCACTGTGTATTATGACTGTGTATTATTTACGTGTGTTCTTAAATGATTTTATTTTTTAAACAACAAAATGTGTCGGTTTTTTTTTTTCGTTGTGGTGGGATGTAGATCTAAGTCACGTGATGAGAACCTGAATAACCCGTAGCTTTTCATCTGTAGGTTCACTGGTGACAGCACTAGGCGGGTCGTAGGTGGTGTGACGTCACAAGGGCGCCGTCACCACAACCCTGGGGTCCCCCATTCTGGCTTCATCCTTCAACCTGGTAAGGACACGACAATTTTTTTTTAATTTTCTTTTTCTGCTAAAAGTTTATTTGTTTAGTTTTAAGAATCACCGATACACGTATAGTGTGATACAATCACAATATGTGAATGTATATGGTGAGATGTGACATATTGTGGGTTAAATGTTTTTTTTTGTAAACATCTTAGTCTTTGTAGATGTGTAAGTATAGGAGATTATAGTACGCCAGTAGGCGGTCGTTTTGTCAGGATTATTAGCATACTTCACCAAGGCGTGGCAACACATTACTGTTTACGTGCATTATGTTGTTTCTGAATGATTTGTGTTTTTTGCTGACGTGTGCTTTATTCCGAATGTATGTGCTAATATAGGTATATATATAATTTTTATGTGTGTGTATATATATATGTATATATATATATATATATATATATATATATATATATATATATATATATATATATATAGAGAGAGAGAGAGAGAGAGAGAGAGAGAGAGAGATAGATAGATAGATAGATAGATAGATAGATAGATAGATAGATAGATAGATAGATAGATAGATAGATAGATAGATAGATAGATAGATAGATAGATAGATAGATAGATAGATAGATAGATAGATAGATAGATAGATAGATAGATAGATAGATAGATAGATAGATAGATAGATAGATAGATAGATAGATTGCTAGGAATATAGTTACGGTCAGGTGTTAGGTATTAGGTTCTAGACTTGGCCAAGGACTTATTCAAGGTTTCTTCCAGACAATTTTCCCCCTGGTATAGCTTAAAATTTCCTGGGGGTGGGGCGGACACTAGCTTTTAAAGTATGTTTTCTCAATATAAATTTTATATTTACTGCCCCCCCCCCCCCCACCACAAAGATTTCCGAAAGAAACACTTGTTCTGTTAAGTATTTTGACTTGCCACGTCATGCATGCAAGTTTGACTTATTAGTTTTTTAGTTTTGGTCTTGTGGTGCTTCATACAATTTCTATGGTTGCAGCCGATTAGATCACGCGTAAATTATATGTAGTATATACTATTTTAATCAGGCATTGTCTTCTTTTAAAATATTTTCTTTACTTAAATTGTGAAAACTTACTGCTTATTTTAATTAAGTTTAAGAAAAAGTCGGGATTATTTTATTTTAAATTTGGGATTTTAAAAAGCTTCCTAAATTGGAATTTATCCCAGCGGCAGTGAATAGATTCCATCTAAACAGGTGACGTTGTAAAAGAAAAGAACATTGGAAAATCCCGTGGAATTTTTTTTTTTCCTGTGCAGTCGATTCGTAATTGACACGTAGAGTAGGTCTAGGCTGATACCCCCCCCCCCCTCCAGCTCACCTTCCCCTCTCCAGGTCATGCACAATGGAAACAGCTGATTGCAATAATTAGAGAGGCAATTACAAAAAAAAAAAAAAAAAAAAAAAAAGGTCAAGGGTTATCTTGCATGCTCGAGTTTACTGAGCTGTAACGCTGAGGGCTAGCGGAGCGAGCGAGGGATGGAGGGGGGGGGGGGAGGAGTGAATGGATGGAGGCGTGACTAGAGCACAGCAAATGGCTGCCGTGTCTATACACTTGTCGCACTCACACGCTGACGCCTGACTCACCGCGTCCTGTTGTCTTGTCCATCTGGTCATCGACGCCGCGCCTGACTTTCGCACCATACCAGGGGTTGTTTTGTTTTCCTTCCGCGGTTGATTTTTGGAGTTTTAGTGACTTGTGACGCCCCCCCCCCCCTCCCTCAACTACGTAGCGGTCACCCTCCCACCCCCTCCATTATCCTTTCAAAGTATGCCCCCGATCACCGAGCTCTCCCCTCCCCTACATTGGTTTTCCCCTTCCTCCCTCCCCCCCCCCCTCAACTACACAATATAAAAAAAGATGGATACTGATGACACCACTAAAAACTGCCCCGCCCCCTCTCCAATTATAACATTATGCTTACAAACACTATACTGATTTCAACCGCCACTACCCCACCCTTAAAAACTGCACCCCCACCCACTTTTCAATCCCAAAACATTAAGTTTACAACCACGATACTGATTTCATTCCCCCCACCCCGACTTTTAAAACTGCCCCCCCCCCCCCCCACACACATTTCCAATCTTTAAATATTAAGACATTAAGTTTACAACCACGTAACTGATTTGCCCCCCCCCCCCCTTAAACTGCACACAGCCCCTCCTTTTACCACTGTGCTCGATTCTAAATAGTTGCTAGGCCACACTCAGTACGGCGTTAGGGTCGCTAGCGGCAACCTTTCCCGGCGACACACACACACAAGATCCTGTCACCAGAATTACATTTACCGTAGTCTTCCTAAAAAAAAACCACCCCTATCCTTCTTTTCTGCTGCCACTTTAAGTTAAGGTACACACTGTAATACCATCTGTAAAACACGGTAATCCCATCTGTAAAACATTGTAATCCCATCTGTAAAACACGTTAATCCCATCTGTAAAACACGGTAGTATACGTATTCGATTTGCACGTCTTATGTATTTATTTTTTTGTTATAAAAGTACAACACATTTTAGTGTTGTGCCCATGGAAGGGGGGTGTCAGCCCCGGGCGTCGCTTTTTTTTTTGTCTACATGCACTTATTTGAATATTAAAATGGCTCGATTATATTGTGTATGAAATATACTTTGATTGTGTTTTATTGTTGTTTTAACTATAAATAACTCTGGTCTATATGTGTATTGTCGCTTTTTTTTTGTCTACATTTAATTTGAATATTAACATCACTCGATTACTATTGTGTGTACGAAATATACTTTAATTATGTTTTACGCTTTTTAAATTACGAAATACAGTTTAACTGTGTTATATGGTTGTTAAATAACACTGGTCTATGCGTTGTCTAGCTCACATACTTATGTCAACGTCGCTTATTTGTCTAAATACACATGTTTACATATTAACATTGCATGATTAATATTGCGTACGAATTATACTTAAATTATATTTTCTGGTTGTTTCAACTAAAAATAACACTGGTCTATATGTGTATTATCCAGCTCAAATGCCAATGTTAATTGAGAACACATGTGTGTTAATCTACTTTTTTTTTAATGATGATGTGGTCCAGGGGGTATTGAGCCCTACTTTTCGAAAAATTGTCGAATACCATGACTCCTTTGTTGGAGGGGGGGGGGGGTAGGGTAAAAGCGGTTTTGGCATACAACTGACCACTTTATCCTCTCACGTGCCGAGATCACAGAAATTGGTGAACTCTGCTTCATCTGCTATTGCTCAACAGTTCCTAATGAGACACGTCCGGTTGCCTTAATTAAGTCGCCATTGAGATAGCTTGTGGCTTTGTCGTGTTGTATCAAAGGACAGTAGAGATAACGGGATTAAATAAAGACATGTTAACTTAAATAGACCACATACGCATAGGGCTAACTGGCGGACAAATCCAGTAGTCAAATGTCCGTGTATATCCGGTGTTTGGTACCGTGCGCTGTCGTTACCGCATGTCCATAGCTTCCCCTTGAAGCGTGTCATTATTGTTAAGTGTCATTGATTGAGTTGGTGGTAAGGGTTAGGCCAGTGGTTTGGGTCAATACGGAGGAGAGCTATAGACCGTCCGATACCCAATCAACAGGAAATTAACTTCATTAAAAAAATTTTAACTCGGGTAAAGACTTTCTGATTTATTTATTTTTTTTTTATAAATCTTGATTTAATACATTGCCAATGATTTTTTTAGAGTTAAAAATATGTTAGTAGCTCGCATTTTTTGCTCACACGTTTTAGGTAAGGCTTAGAAAAAAATTCATTATTAGATTTAATAACGTCAAATAATGTATCGTTGTCTTAATATAATTTAATTTATATAAGATCTACATCCATGTGTTAGTATAGTAAATACGGTAACCCCGATTTTTCATGCTTTAAAAAAAAAATTACAAATTTCAAATTAGAGTAGATCTTGAAGACAAGTTGTATAACCTCTATGGGACCAAGTAGGAGGATATGGTCTGCACACGGGAGGTCGGGGGGAGAGGGGGCGCTAGGTAACCTAGAAAACGAAGGGGAAAAAATGTCGACACAAATCGTAGCGTGTCAAGCCAAGGGGACGGTACTCTCCGTAACAAGGGCGACAGCTATGACCGCATTTGGGAATTCCTCGCGATGACAGTTTTAAGTTTGTTTCTTTACCAAGATTTAAAGTATGTTTACAAAATTAAAAAAAAAATTAAAATTGTGATAATTTATAGTCAATTTCTTTTTAAACACGTCCGTTTTTTGTTTTTTTAAGATAGCGGCGTCTTATCTTCTGAGAAGAGAGACGTGGGCTGACCGATTGAATGAAGTTATCAAAACTTTGTACAGCACTTGAGAGGAAGTAATGATTGATACTTTTCATTTCCGGTGTGCTGAACACGCTCTCAATCGAGATAATTGCCCCAGCAGTGGCCAAACACACACACGCGGTGGCCAGGTAGCACATCGTTGGCCCAGCGACACGTTTGGGCCGTATCGCTCCACACAGACGAACCATCCTTAGCAAACAAGAGGGGAGGGGGGTTTGAAGAAAAGGGGGCGGAGGCTTTGCTTGCACAAAACTATTTAGCATACCGGAGAGGTCTGTTTGGTGGGCTGCACTACACACTCGTTCATTGAGAATTTCTTTTTTGAAAAATAAAATTGAATAGAATGGTGTCGTGGTGGCTATGGACACCACAGGGTGTTTTGGGGGTTTTGGCTTATAATGTCTTTATTGTGTGCTGTAAGGTTATATCATATATGTATATGCTATTGTCGTCAGTGTTTCTTCCAGACTTTTTTCTCCGGGGGGGGGGGGGGGGGGGGGCACTTGAAATCTTCGGGGGGGGGGCGGTAAACTTTCTTCGGGGGGGGCGGACACTGTTAAAAGTATATATTTTCTATATAAATTATATAAATTTCATTTCGTTCGGGGGGGCGGTAAAAATTTTTCGGGGGGGGCTTAGCCCCCCCCCGAAGAGATGCCTGGAAGAAACTCTGATTGTCGTAGAGG